CATAGCTTTCCTTTCTTAACTTACAACCAGTTAGCAACGTACCAAGGGAAAAAATTATAAGCCAGAATTGCAGTAGTATTAAGTGAATTGTCTTAATTATTTACTGTAAAAGTGATTGTTTTTTTCAACAATAGGCCTACAAATTGAAGCCAAAACAGTTTAGTCTCAGTGAATCAGTGCCTATACTCAAGACCCTCTACTATGAATGTGTACTTACCTTATTAAACAACAACAAATCCACTGGAGGATATATGCAGTACAATACAAAAACCTGTGACTACATGGTTTATTTTTTAATGATATTATGGACAATTGATTTGGTAACATACAAATAGTTTCTTGTAAGTCCAGATATTATGCACAATCACTTTGGTAATCTACAAATAGCTTCTTGTAGGTTTGGATATTCTGGACAGAACTGTGAAACATGTGTCTCTTTGTGACAGAACTGTGAAACATGTTTATGGTGAAGCATATCAAACATATGTTTAATTGTGAAACTGTCATTTTTAATGAGTAAATAAAGCGGAAAAACAGTAAGTTAGATTTCACTTTCTCTATTAAGAGATTAAATTCTCTGAACCACTAAGTTAATATGCCTTGACCTCTTTCATTTAAGCAATAATAGGGAAAATTTAAAAGAGTCTTACTGAAATAAAGTTAGAATGAAGTATTGCTTGAAGATAAAGAGGTAATCCAAAATTAATTATTTACTTGGGAAATTAAATTTTTAAAAAATACAACTAAGTATTCAATTCATAGTTACAAAAAACTATTAAATTACATATAAACTACCGCCATATTTATTACTATTTATTCTTAAGTGTATAATTTTAAACAACTAACTATTTATGTTTATGGAATGCGCACAAAAAAGGGTGTACGAGTTCAAGCATTGATCTTTGACAATGACATTGGAATATACAACTCCACACTACACAATAACTCTTGCTACACCATATCCAATGCGGTTGTCAAACCTCCACGGCCTAATTACAGTGTTCCCGATGAGAGGTACCAATACATATGGGTGCTAAGTGGTCGCACAGTTGTACAACCACTTCTTGATGTTGCCGCTTTCCTTCCTGAGAATGAAAGAGTCTATAATGCTTTCGCAGAAATTTATGAAACCATGAAAACGGGTGCAGAAATTTGTAAGTAAATCGCCATTATCATAGTTGTAAATAAAATGATTACATTTCAGAAACCAAATTCCATTTGAACCACACATTTTTAAATACATGAAATCTTTACACATCAATCATAACGGCGGTTATCGATAAACTCTCGAGAGAAGTCATTTCCACCACCAAAGGAACTAAACAAGTTAAGGAGATTGTCTTGGTCGATGAAAAGTAAGTTTCAAACCATATACGCCTTCACACGTACATATTAAATATGTTGCACTTTTTTTACTAATAGAGAGTGACTAAGTACCTATCATATATCCAGGTTGAAGCCAATTGCACTAACCCTATGAGGACAATTCGGTGACAATGAGGGCAATGACATTATTGAGCAACTCAATGCAGGTGAATATCCAATTATATATGCTGAAAACATCGGCGCCACACACTTCAAAGGTAATGTAATAATTATATATATTATTATTACACACATGGTGGTATACTTATAAACTCAGCTGCCACCAAACCAAATGCATTTCAGCCTGGCCTCAACTGCTTTGGACTTTTCCTGATTATAACTTGCATAATAATTTGCATTTCAAACACATTTGGCCAACAAGATCATTGTATAATTACCGTCACTACCTGCCTATATTGAGACAATTTGTGCGGATTACACAAATTGATTTTAAATTTAACTGATTCCAAAAAAATATATGTTCGATTATATAACTGCTACGTAGACAAATTACAATAAAGCCAATAAAGTAAAGCATTATATTTTACTTTTTAAAGAAAACCCAGAAATATTGTGTTTTATCAGCGTGTTTTAAATATTGTCATTTTTTTAACACAAATTTACTATGTTTGTAAATATAAGGAATATCATTGACTACGAGGTATCATTCTACCATCACAATTAACCCGAAAAACTCCCGCACAGAACAACTCCACAAGTGGTGAGCCCTTATTCTTGCCTAAATAAATTTTGTATATCTATACTAACCATTTAAAGTGATTTAATATTAACCATTTATTGGCATCCCATTCGCAGGGCCACCGAGAATCACGAAGCTCTACATGCACTGAAGATATGTCACGAGTACAAGAATGCAGCTATTAACCTCGCAAACCCAGAAGCGGAAGAAATAATAAAAATATCTGCTATTCCTCCTCACATAGATCCTGTATACTTAAAAAATAACTACAAGTAACATGGTTAAAGGTAACTATTATATAACTAACATATGTTGCATGAATAATATGTTGTAGGCAAAACCCATTTGGGTACAAGGGAAAATCAACTTGAAACTTGATGGTGAGAGTCTTTGGTACATTGGGTGTAGCCACTGTTTGAAGAAAGTTTACGCCGAATGCGACAACAACTTTAACTGCATGAACTGTGGTGACCAAACTGCAATCGGGACACCAAGGTTACTTCATACTATTGTTTCCCTTTATATCCATACTTTTCTTGCTACATTGGTTCTGACAATTTAGGTAATATTACTAAAAGCATCCCATTTTAAAAAAAAAGAGTCATAAAACAAAAAATTAGTGCTTCTATTCAATATGAATGAATGTGATTCCTCATTCAACTTTCATACTAAATTAAAATTGTTTTCTTGTTACAAATTGGTCATATATGTTAACATAATACCTTTTATTGAATTAATAGGTGCAAGATGAATATAACCATCACAGATGAAACAGCAACGGTTGATGCCTCAGTATTTGGCCAATGTGCAGAAAAATTAGTGCTAATGACCAGCAAGCAAGTAATGGAGGTTGAATTACAAGTAAAAATCTAACTACACACCTCTTAGTAAATTCTTATATTCATCCCCAAATTGTCCATATATTACATATGCCAAAATAAACACTTTGATAATTATTATGTCAACATTTGAAGGGGAAACGAGCATCATTTCAGGATGCCAATAAACATCTAGACAAATAAGAATACATTATACAACTGCGCTCACAAACATCTACTTATCAAGACAAGTTCACAGACTCATACACTGTCATATCACTGCATGATGCATCTCACTTTGTGATTACTAGCAACATTGTTCCGCCAACCCCGCCCTCAAAAAAGGTGAAGCTGCAACTTTCTGGAACAAGCAACTCACCAGTTGATCAGAAGCGCAAAAAGCATGTCTGATTGCTCTTTAAACCTTTATGTTTCCTTCTGCCGTGAAAACTCTATGTTTCACATTTACATTTGACTTCTCCTATTACTTTTCTCAGAATAATTACCACAAATAATTGTTGAGAACTTATTACATATATTACAATGCATCTACTATTCTCTTCAGCTTCGCTTCAATATTTCTTCTCCCATTATCTAACTACAAAATTCCTTAAACTTACAACACAATAAACATTAGCAACATTATTACCTTGATAAAAAAAGCATTATTACTTATCATATTTACTACTACCTTCGCCCCAAAAAACTTTGCCTTTTCCAAAAATTTTAACCATAATTTTGATTAGTATAATATTATAAGAGTTATAAATTTTATACTCTTATGAAATTACTTTTAACAAAGAACATTTTCATATAATTTTTATATTTTAAATAATTTCTAATAAAAAGATATAATTGATCAATGTTTTGAAAATGGCAAAGCTTGTTGGGACGGATGTAGTATTTAACTATCTTTGGTATCGATTTTACAATTTATGTTTCACTTGTGAATACGTGATAGAATACTGAGTAAAACTCTTGGGCATTTTGTCCAACGCGCATGACGCGTTCAATAACTAGTATAAACATAAACATATACACATATAAATAAGTCGGGTATTGAGCTAAAAATACTTCAAAGTTGAACTGAGCCTAACCTATTTAAACAAACAGGTTTTATTATATTTAAAAATATATTAATTGATACTTCAATATAAAACGGCTATAGAATAATAAAAATAGTAATGATAACAAATTGAATAAAAATGATTTTTAATATATATTATTTTAATGTTATATTCATACATTTTTCATATTGTCTTGATAATAGAAATAATTAAAAATATATTATTCTACACTCAAATCACTCAAATTTTTGCTCTTTTAGACTAATAAAAAAAGTAAGTAGATAAATATAGTAAAAATACTAACATTATTACTATTAAATACTCCATATTTACAAAAATATTAGTTGTGGTTTTTCTAAAAAATAATTTAGAAAACCGTTTTTTTCCGTTTCGGTTCCAATTTTGAACTGGTTAAACCGATTTCGTTCCTATAAAAACATGTGATACATCTGGTCCATTTTCCGGATTTTATTTTTTTTATAATATAAGTTTTGATCCGGTTCGATTCGGCCCAGTTTTGAACCGATACACACCCCACCCTCGTGCTCTGCTATTGCGCGTGATGGCGGGTGAAGTGGGGATGAAATCTCTTGTCATGACCGGGATGTCCCAAATGTGAATTTTCAGTTTTTTCAGAAGTAGTTTTTGTTGGATTTCTTCATGATTGAGATGGATTTCTATATTTTTAGGAGGAATCTAACTTGAATGTGTTCAAATTTCTCAACGAGAGCACCATTTGATGGATAATAGTTACCCATATTGTATAATTTAGGAGAGATGAACAAGAAAATGGAGAAGTAGATGAATGTATTGTATTAAATGAATAGTTTGACTAGGGCTTACAATGCTTCCCATAAGGAGTACACGTATATATAGAAGAGATGGCAGGTCGGGCCGCTAATATGGGCCTCATAAGTCCAACTACGTAAAATGTTAATCTAGTACATACAATGAATGTGTAATTGTATCTCTACAAAATTATATCTCTAGAAAATTATAAGCATGAATAAGGGTATAGGCATCTTGGGTATGAAAAATTTGTTGGTGGAACGGATGGTTATATGAGCTTGTACCATCTGCTTTATTTTTTTATATTCTTCTTTGTCTAATCCCCTTTTATCCAGACGAAGTTCTACCCATCGTTCACTTCTGGTGAACCCCTGCTTTTGCTGGCATGCCAGAAATCATGGAATGGAAGCAGAGTCAAATGGTTAATCAAAGCATCGGCTACTTCCACTTGTGGCTTTATTCGAGCTCCTTTACATCAACATATCAAGGAACCCCCTCATCCACCACAACTAGGTGGAGACTAGAAGGGTAGGAAACCCCAACGAGAAACCTTTCGCGAAGCACTCTCTCAGATGATTCCACTTCGATGGTTAGCGGAATTCATCAATGCATACATCATCTTACAACACTAGACGAGTGACCCCTAACGAGTGAGACTGTCCGATTTGACTAACACCTGAAAAAAGGTTAGGTTTCTTCCAATTCTCAATTGATTGGCTCTATTGTTTAGTTGTTATTTGTGTTGCTCTATTGCTCAAGTATTTTCTTAAACGTTTAAAATCAGTTTGGAGTATTACAAAATACAAATGGCTACAAAATATTATGAAAGCACACAACGTGTTTGTGAAATTGTCTAGGTGAGAGTCTCTCTCTTTTCTAATTATTCATTACATGCTTATCCATTTCAAATGAGTTAATACCTTCAACAGTACTTTGTCAAATTTCAGCACCAAAAACATTCCGTCATAGTGAAAATTTCATGATATGTATGGGTTTGGGCAGACAAAAACAAGGTTTAGTAACGAATAAATAGATACATGCAATATTTGGTATATGAGAGCAATGTACTATACATTTTTATCTCTATAATTGGAAATGTGTTTCGTAAAACATATATAACTAAACTATTAAGAATGTACAAAGTGCTATAAATGGAATAATTTTAGCCTAAAATTGTATTTCATCCCTTTGTTGTCACCTACTTAGAAATTACCAGTGACATGGTTATTTAAAATTTGCATTCAAATTGACAATAATGTGTTAATTTTAACTTATGTCAACAGAATCAACCTATTCGAATATTCTTATAACATCTCAATATCTCCTATGTCCTAACATTTGTCATTACCTTAGCCTATTTTAAATAGTCTGATACTCTCTATATCAAATCACTAAATGATTCAGTTACAAACAATCTATATGTTTCTTAAACTGGAAATTATCTGTGACTTGTTTTAAAGAACACATGAGGTGTAAAGCATGAAATTTAACAAAATCTTGTTTGCAAAATTTAGTAGTTTAATGTTAATTTTGGTTGCTCTATTGTAAAAAGACTACATGGGTTGCTGGTATTTTTACATCTGTTTTTTTAGAAATGGTGTGTTTTCTACTTCATTTATTTGAGCTCCGTATGCACTCGAGGACTTTGTTGCATTAGAATCATGTATTGCCATTTTAAACAGGTTACCACTGCTCTTCCTTCAATATGCATGTTTTGATTTATGCACACATACATATAGGAGATTCTATTGTGCAAAATACTCTCTCAAGCATCGTGGAGCAATGTGTTATTCAACTTCATTGGTTCAAAATGTACAAGGAATGCCTTCTTTTTCACACAATCTTTTCTTTATTTAAGCCTTAAGTTGATTCAAAAGAGGGGAGGGGAGGAAAGTGAAGGTGCTCCAAAATGAAGGAAAAGGAGCCCAATGATTCATCCAATACACTCAAAAATTGTAATGGATCATTTCATAGTTTTAGGATTTTCTTCTTTTGTAATTCTCATTAGCCCTAAGTTGATTCAAGTTTTTGCCCATAGCCCCATATTTCTTTTCTTTACCCGTGATTAATTAATCACTTGTTGCAGCCTCATAACTGGTTTTGTAGTTTTAAGTTTTTTTTACTTGTAACATGACTTTATTCTCTGTGAATGACTACTTCAAAAATGAATGTACTCTTTTTTCCTAATTCAAACTTCTTTCATTTTTGTTCTTTTTATGTGGAGTTTGATTTGCATAGCAAGCTAGCCGTGCAAGTGTGTTCCATATATGTAGTATATGATATTGGGCATTTACACAATCGTGCAACGCGCGTATAAAAAACTAGTAGTAATATAAATGTTGTATGCTGGATGTACTTGAGGCGCTGTCCAGATCAAGGGGTGGGGTCCATATACTCCATCACCTACTTTTCGGCGTGAGCCTACATTTTCAAAAGTCTAGCCTGACTTGAGAATTGGTCTCTTAAGAAAAAATTAAAGTCTAAAAATATTTTAAAAAACTGACAAATCTTAACTTAGATGCAAAATTTACACCCAAATAATCACCAAAAAATATAATAACGTGTTAGTTTTGCTTTTATATACTTTAGATCTTGAATTTTTTTGAATTTCAATGACCTTAATAACCTATTAACTCACTTTATATATTTAAAATAGTAATGTAATATATAAAAACGCACTCCATAAAAACACTTTATACCCAATTTGTTATAGTTAAGTATACTAATGAATCAATAGATCCTTGTACATTTAATGAAAATTCAATTGAGTCCTCGTATAAATCAATAAAGTCATTGGGGTATTAAAAATAGTCAAATTAACTATTACCCAGGATACCAGCCAGTAACCAATCACCCGCTTAACTGGAAGTCCTATGTGGAAGTCTGATTAACCGTTTTTTACTACGGAGTATTTTCTTTTTTTAGTTTTCTTTTTCTCTTTAGAGAAATTTATCATGGATATTACTAAAAGATGATGTAATTCCCATTATATGACTAGTTTAATATTTATACTAATCTATGACCTCATGACCTCCATTCACGTGGGTGGTTATTTTCCCAACAGTCCCCTTCTATTCAACTGTGTGTCCATGTTTTGCTTTATATGTTTGGTCATACCGATCATATAAAAACACACATGACATATTTTGGAAAATCTCACATATTTTAGTATTATTGAGGTATTTTCCAAGCTCCTGCAACTCTTTCTTTTGTTACGAGCCTCTTCTCCATTTTCCGCACACTATCTGTGAGTCGTTCCCAACTCCCCATTTCACCTCTACAACAACAACCTAGTTTCACCGGACGAGAGCTCAAGATCGCCATCACCGCCGATGCCGCCACTCTCCGACAACCTCAATTGGAAAATTTTGCAATCTCTCCTCTCCCCCCATCTTTCTTATGCACTTTCAGCTTTCCAAATCCCCCATTCACCAAATCGATTTCGTCATCCGAAACCCACCCTGAAAACAAGAGGAACTTTCTCATGCTGAATCTATGCCGCTTCGCCACCGAAAACCAGCATTCTTCATAGGACCCATCGATGACAGAGACCCACAACTGACTTGTGCCCGACCCGATGAACCGAAATCTCTTGTCGGTGATCGTCTCACTACCTCCATACGTACCGTCGCCCTGACCTCCATAACCACCACCTCCGCCGCCCTAGCTCCATTCCATCATGAATTGGACTGGCACTTCTTTGAAACTCGTATCCATTAGTGGAGGAATCAAGGGAGATAATTATACAGAGACCATTCCATAGTCACCGCCTCCCAGCGCATCTACGTTTGGCATAGACCTGCATCAAGGAAAGGAAAAGGGAACATCGAGAACAGAGAAAGAAAGGATGGGAGAAAAATAGAGTTTTTTTGGTATTAATGTTAATTAATTAAATAATTAAATAATTACGGAATTAATGCTGGGTTAAAACTATTTACCAATATACTGCTGGGATTAACTCTGGTCGGGGAAAGTCGTCAAGCCGTTTGGTGACTTATAAGTCGTCATCCGATTTGGCGACTTATAAGTGGCCAAACTGTTTTGTAACTTTCCCTGACCCAAATACGTTAACACCCAAATGTTCTGTTTTAGACCGGCGTCGAACAGGGCCCAACCGGGGCCGGTCGGGGGCGCCTCAGTGGCGAAAAATTGTGTTTTTCATCCTAAATCGATCCCGATTATCGCAATTCACCGTTTGACGACTTACAGAACACATACAAAACACAATTTGGTAAAAATGATACAAAGCGAGAAACACAATTTGGTAAAAATGATACAAAATGATAAAAACTATTAATAACACAATATCCATTAGTTTGCAGGTGAAAGTACGTTAAAAAGTAGTGTTTCTACAAAATTTGGTGTACATTATTTCATCCAATAATAGAGAAACTACAATTTTTGATGGTCTTCTTTATTGTTTTGGTCATGGTCTTGGTCATCAATCAGCCATAGACCCGCTGATGATAACGACGATATCAGAAATATCCGTTGATGATAACGATGCCACCTCCGATTGTTCTACCTCTAGCTGAATATGACACATATCAGAAATTTAAGTCGGCTAAAGTGCCTTTATCTGCACCTGGTACGTCTACCGCTTGTGTTTCAAACACCACAAACTAATGGATCATTGATTCAGGTGTTTCAGACCATATTTCTGGTAATCCCCAACTTTTGTCCCATATTACCAAGCACCAACACCTTCCTTTAATTACTACGGCTAATGGCCATCAAACTTCGGCCACAAGTATTGGGCAAGCACTCCCACTTTTCATCCTTACCCTTACATTTAGTCTTATATGTTCCTAATAGCCCCTTTAACCTTGACTCTGTTAGTAAAATTACGCGTGCTCTTGATTGTTCTATAACCTTTTTTGCTGATTCTGTAATTGTGCAGGACCATCGTACGAGGAAGACGATTGACATCGAGCATGAATCTCAAGGCTTGTATCATCTTCCTCCTGTTGATCCAATCGCTTGTGTCTCCATTGAACCTGCATTAACGTTACATAACCGTTTGGGTCATCCTAGCCTCTCAAAGTTTCGACGTATGGTTCCAGGTTTCTCAAGTCTTTCGTCTTTAGATTGTGAGTCATGTCACCTTGGAAAGCAACCTCGTAAATCCTTTCCAAGGCGTGTTAATAAACAGGTTGCGTCCCCTTTTGATTTAGTTCATACAGATGTATGGGGTCCGTATTGAGTCACTTCTACTTTAGAATTTCATTACTTTTTTATTTTTGTAGATGACTTTTCCCGTTAGACATGATTGTTTTTAATGAGAGAACGTTTTGAATTATTCCATATTTTTCAAACTTTTTGTGCCGAAATCCACACTCAGTTTGGCCATTCTATCAAAATTTTACACAGTGATAATGCTAAAGATTTTTTGCGGCACCCTTTAATCACTTCATGATATCACGGGGTATGCTTCACCAGTCTTCTTGTGTACACACGCCTCACCAAAATGGGGTAGTTGAACGCGAGAACATACACTTAGTTGATACTGCCCGTACTATGTTATTACATTCACATACACCACCTCAGTATTGGGCAGGTGTTGTACTCACTGCGTGTTATTCATAATGAAATTCCTTATTCTGTCTTGTTTCCTACTCGTGAGTTATTTCCATTACCACCTCATGTGTTTGGGTGTGTGTGTTTTGTCCATGATTTTACACCTGGATTATCTAAAATGTCAGCTAGTTCAATAAAATGCATTTTTCTTGGATATTCACGAGTCCAAAAGGATGATCGTTGCTATTCTCCATTACTTAAGAAGCATTTTATTTCGGTTGATGTCACTTTTATTGAGTCCTCCTTTTATTATCAATTATCTGCGATTGATACTTCATCATGTTTGGACTTCATCTCATATCTCCGGGCCATCCATCCAAAAATTGTTATTTCCCCTCCATCTGATGTGGCTCCTGTGGTAGACCCATCCCTATCAAGGTACGCGTTCTATTTTGAATCCACATCCCATATATAACCTTTTGAGTTACCACCCCCTCTCTACCCCTTACTTTGCTTTCATTTCACACTTGTCTCGTATACCCATCCCTAAAACAACACATGAGGCATTGACACATCCGAAATGGCGTCAAGCCATGTTGACTGAGATGGAGGCTCTTCATTCTAGTGGGACATGGGAAGTAGTTTCCCATCCCCCTAGCAAATCAGTGGTTGGGTTTCGGTGGATCTACACCGTTAAAGTTGGTCCTCATGGGCAAGTTGATCGTTTTAAAGCACACCTTGTGGCAAAAGGGTATACTCAAATTTATGGTTTGGATTACACTGACACTTTTTCTTCTGTAGTGAAGATTGCATCGATTCGTTTGATTTTATTCATGGCAGCAATGAGCCACTGGCCATTATTCCAATTGGATATTAAAAATGCATTTCTTCATGGTAATCTGGACGAGGAGGTTTATATGGAGCAACCACCTGATTTTATTGCTCGGGGGGGGGGGGGGGGGGTCTAGTTTGGTATGCAGATTACGTCATGCTTTATATGGCTTGAAGCAATCAGCACGTGCATGGTTTGGGAGGTTTAGTGCTCTTATCTGTGATTTTGGCATGATTCGCATTGATGTCGACCATTCTATATTTTATAGACATTCTGCAGGCAACATATGTATTTATCTTGTTGTATATGTTGATGACATTGTCATTACATGTAGCGATGAACAAGGAATTGCACTCCTAAAGCATTATCTCTTTATCAAATTCCAAACAAAAGACTTGGGAAAGTTGAAATACTTTCTTGGCATTGAGGTCGCACAGTCTCAAAATGGAATTGCCATTTCACAAAGAAAATATGCATTGAATATTCTTGAGGAAACAGGTATGCTAGAGTGCAGGCCATTGGATACACCTATGGATCCAAATTTCAAACTCTTGTCAGAACAGAGAGACCTTTTGCCCAAATAGGGAAAAATATAGAAGACTCATTGGCAAATTGAATTATCTTACCATCACGAGGCCAAATATTTCATTTGCGGTAAGTGTCCTTAGTCAGTTTCTTGATAAGTCATGTAATGGACATTGGGATGCAGCTATTCGAGTTTTGAGATACATCAAGAAAACACCTGGGCAAGGATTGTTGTTCGAAGACCGAGACCACCATGATATTGTGGGATACTGTGATGCAAACTGGGCCAGATGTCCGATGGATAGACGTTCCACTTCGAGATATTGCATCTTGATTAGTGGAAACTTAATCTCATGGAAAAGTAAGAAACATGATGTGGTTGCCAGATCTAGTGCTGAAGCAGAATATCGTGCAATGGCCCTTGCGACATGTGAAATCTTATGGTTGAAGCATGTTCTCCGATGGTTAAAATATGGAAACACAAAACCAGTCCAACTCATGCGTGACAAGTGACAACCAAGCTGCAATGCTCATTGCATCAAATCCGGTATATCATGAGAGGACTAAACATATTGAAGTTGATTGCCATTTTATCTGAGAGAAGATCGCGAGCGGACATGTCATCACAAATTATGTCAACACAACCAAACAACTTGCAGATATTCTAACGAAGTCTCTTAGGGTCCTAGAGTGGGATATTTTTGTAACAAGCTTGGTACATATGATTTATATGCTCCAGCTTGAGGGGGGGGGGGGGGGGGTGTGGAAACCCTGGTAGAGTTGGGCTTAGCCCATTTTGTATATCTTTGTATATGGAACCCTAGTGCTCTAAATATAGTTATAAATATAGCTTCTTGTATAGCATTTGATATCAAGTATATGAAATATAACAATACTTATTCACAATATGCTAATACTTTGTTAACTACTTTTCCTATATCACAACAAAACCTTGAATTGAGTGATTACAGCTACTGCTTTTGAAACTGAAATTCAATGTTAGGTAGACTAATCCCAAGTTGCATTCTACAATATTTAGAATAGAAACTTACTATCATTTGGAAGATCTAAAGCCCGGAATTCCTGGGAGACCAATTTCATATTAGGTAGACTAATGTAGGAGGTTCAACTACTGGGAGGTTTTTTCAATTCAATATGAGGTTGACTAATTCTGGATTATATTTTGCTATCATTGTGTATTTTAGAACTTAAATTTGAACACAATTAGGATAATATTTGATCATTTGGTTATGTTTATACCTCCAAAGTGTCCCCTCATAACCTGCATGGCTAGGCCCATAAATCTCATGCTTGCAGCGAAACTAAATATTACAGGTATTAATATTTTGAGCACTCCTGACGAACAGTTATGTATTGCATTATTGGTCCACCTATATAGTAAACCAAATTTTATACCAAGGTTATTGATATTTATAAACACGAGGATGTTTTGTATCTAAATCAAACTTGAGTGATAAAATATTTTTTGCATTTTTATTATTAATGCCACATCATAAACATGTGAATTTTTGTATTACTTGTTTTAGAAAGTACCTAAAGGATACTGGTCAGGTATGTTAAATATATTTGTCTTTAGATGATGGTTACAGTTCAACATTGAAAAAATGCAATGCCTTAGATGTCAAGAATTAGCAAACCTGAATTGGTTTTAGTTTGCATTCTCCTATATGTTAACTATTAATAGTTTTGTGTGATTTTTAGCAATTAACTATAACACTGTAATATTTTTTTAATTTAGAAAAGAAACGTTGTTGTTGTTGTTGTTGTACGTTAGTTAGGCATGGACCCAGGGTAGTCTGTTCCTGATTCTAGGCTGAGACCGCCCCTGTCCCTGCCATTAAATTTGAAGCGCGGTCCCAAACTGTATAAATCTGGTTCTGTGCCGGTTCCGGGTACCCAGGCGGTCTGGTCCCAGTCCCGCCATTTTTTTAACTTTTTGTTATAAATCCACTATTTTTTAATCGGTCGGGACCAACCGGCTTGGTCCCCAAATCTTTGAACCGGGACGGGTACCCTATACACCTTATCGAGTACTGGTCTTCGTCTAGAACCGGAAAAACAAACCCAGTCGGGGTCCCACACAGTGCCAGATCAGGTTCTAGACCGGGCCGGCCTGCCGGACCAAGTCCATGCCTAGCATTAGTTACAAAGTATTAGATCAGTTCTTTTTGTTTATCCTTTTTCTTAAATGTTCACTCTAATAGTTTTGTGTACGTTTTAGCAATGATCTATGATAGCATGATATTACCTACAAAAGAAAGGTTGTTATATGTTAATTATTACATCATTCGATAAGTTCTTTTTGTTTCTGCCGAGAGTGTAAATAGACTTTTACAGTGGTTTTCCCAAATACGGATTTTCAACTAGTGTACTATTTGGGTTTTGTCTAGATATAAAAGAAAGATTACCTAAAGAATTAATGAAATGACTTCTTTTTTATTCCAACATAGTAATCCCTTTCTATACGGTTTCTTGTAATCTCATTACTCTGATGTGATCTGATAACATAATTAACATACTTGTAACCATAATATGCTTGTAATGTTTGTAAAATATATTAGGGCATATGTGTCCGAGCTATGGTGTTTGACCGAAATATAGGAATGTACGACATGACATTAGAACTCCATTCATGGTACAAACACTCCCTCATCAAAACAATTTTTGCGTCCCACATGACAACTACAACTTTACACAGACTCAGGCCAGTAGAACTACTATTGAGCATGCCTAAGATACTTAGATGCTCTCCATGTTCAAAGATATTTTCGTTGCTCTCTGTACTTGTCCTGTTTTGGATTAATGTAAAATCACTTTACTCACTTGTGCCAACGTAGCTAAGCACATAGGTTGTGTGTGCAGTCCCGATGTAATTATGTCAAGCTCTGAATCTTTTACTTTTGAAATTTGTTGCAAGCAATGAGATCATATTGTTATGTGATAGTCGTTTATGCATTTCATAGTATGGGCATGAAAATGCTTGAGCTACTTTTGATGCATACTTTTTGCCAAGGAAATCCTATTGGTGTACAAATTCACTTGAACAAAAACTTTGTACTCCTGTACTCTGTATCTTTTAGCAAACGAACAATAAAAATTAAATGCCTCCATAACATAAAGAATTGGGCAACTATACCAATAGCGCAACGTGCTTCACAAAACTAGTAAGTAGATAAATATAGTATCAGTTCATTGAAAATCATCTTTTCATTTCTTTTGTCATCTTGTTGTTCTTTTCATTTTCTTCTCTCAGTCAATCATCATTCTTTACATGTATCAGTTCATTGAAAGTCATTTTCTTATTCCAGTCTATATTTCCAGTAATCCATGTGACCATTTATACTTTGTAGTTCTCTTCATCCATGTCTACCTTGTAGTCCTCTTTTCTTCTTATCAACTCTATATACTTCCAATGTATGATATTGTTACGGACCAATATTATGGTCGTACATATGAACGCAGAAAGCAGTGTGGGGCAGAGAAGATTAATGACCAACGTGGCTAAGAGAAAAGAAATAAGAAGGCAGTTAGAGTCATATTAGTATTAGTATTTAATTAGTCCTACTTTAATTAGTATTCCTTTATTTAAGTTGTATTAGAATTGCAACTTAGTTTCCTATTTGTTTTAGGAAACCCTTTATCTATTTAAAGGGATCCCAGCTACTTTAATAAACAGCTTTTTGGTTAATTAATCTTGATATCTCTTGACTAGGTCGAAGATCGATAATTATCTATTAAGCCACTATTTTCAGTTCATCTATTCCTCGTCAATTAAAAATAGCTCCCGGAACATCATCCCTTACCTGTGGTCAATCCCGTTCACGTCCTTGGACGAGGTCTCTAACTCACGCCCTTAACAACTTGGCATCAGATTCTGGGACGATGGGGACCGAGACTCCTACTGCGGATTCACTAAAAACCATGATTGAGAGTATCGATCACCGGCAACTGGCGGTGGAACACACCTTGGCAGATCTGCAGACCGCTATGGCGCAACTGGCCACCCTTCCGGCCGCCATGGAGACACTCGCTTCAACGGTGCAGAAATTAACAGATGATTCCTCATCCAGCTCCTCCCAGTTCGACCGCAGGAGAGAGGCAGACCATTCGCGCCGTGATACTGAAGATTCTTTAGTTCCCAGGTTCTCGAAAATTGAATTTCCACAGTACGATGGGAAAAGCGATCCCCTCTCCTGGTTAAAACGCTGTGAGAGTTTTTTTATTCAGCAACGCACACCTGCTCCAGCTAGGGTGGGTTTGGCGACTTTCCACATGATCGGGACCGCACAACTATGGGCTAACCAGTTGGATACTGGAACTTCCATTATCTCTTGGACTGAATTCTACGGTCGCTGTACTAAACGTTTTGGGCCGCCGAGTAGCACAAATCCGGAAGGCGATCTAGCCAAACTACGCCAGACCGGCGATCTCGAGAATTATATTGAAACATTCCAACAGATGTTGGCTCGAACTGTGGGAATTTCTGCCCGTATGCAGGTAAAAATATTCACCGCTGGGCTGCGCGAGGTTGTACGCATGGAGGTTGAATACCAGGATCCTATTGACTTGGATTCTGCTATGATGTTGTCCAGGGCTGTTGAGCGCAAGTACAGTATAGGCCATTCTTCGCCTGCACTTCCAATACGTCCCCAATCAGTTGCCCGTTCAGAATCAGTACTTGCTCCTGCAGATTTGAATTTAGCACGGCGCACCTCCAATCCACACTTCAAAAAGATTTCTCGAGCAGAAGCTGCTGTTCGCCGGGAAAAGGGCCTTTGTTATAACTGTGACGATCCTTGGGTTCGTGGCCATCAATGCAAAAAATTATTTTTTATTGACATTATAGAAGATGACCAGTCCGAAGAGCAGTTTGAACCAGCCCTCTCTCTTCATGCTATGACTGGAATCGGCTCCACTTCTACAATGCAATTAGCCGCCACCCTTAATAATATGCCCATCACTGTTCTGGTGGACTCAGGCAGTACCCATAATTTTCTCCATCAAAGACTAGTTCCTGCCAGTAACCATTCCTTGCACCAGAAATCTTATTTGCATGTTCTAGTAGCTAATGGAGATCGGGTACCTATTTTGGGCACTTGTCCTCGGCTTGACTTCTTAGTGGACGGACACACATTTACAGCCGACTTTTATGTGCTTCCACTGGCCGGGTTTGACATGATCTTGGGCGTTCAGTGGCTTCGCAATCTTGGCACCATTGAATGGGATTTTTCACGCCTTTTCATGCGATTCAGATGGCAAAACACTTCTGTGGAATGGCATGGCCATGCTGGCGCACCTCCACTTCAGGCCCACATGATTACCACATCATCTTCCAAGTTAGAAAGTCTCCTGGACCAGTTTGAAGACATCTTCCGCTTGCCATCTGGTCTGCCGCCTACACGAGCTTGTGATCACAAAATCACATTATTTCCAGGAACTAGTCCGGTGGTCGTTCGACCATACCGTTACCCCTATTTCCAGAAAGACGAGATTGAGCGGCAGTGTTCTGAGATGCTCCAGCAAGGTATCATCCGCCCAAGCAGATCTCCCTTTTCATCACCTGTCCTTCTAGTTAAAAAAGCTGAGGGCACATGGAGGTTTTGTGTTGACTATAGAGAACTCAATGCCCGCACCGTTAAGGACAAATTTCCGATTCCTGTCATCGATGAGTTGTTGGACGAACTTCATGGATCCAAATTTTTCACAAAACTTGACTTGCGCTCAGGATATCATCAGATTCGCATGGCAGAAGAAGATATCGAAAAGACAGCTTTTCGAACTCATCACGGCCACTTTGAATTCTTAGTCATGCCATTTGGGCTCACCAATGCACCATCCACGTTTCAAAGCTTAATGAATGCCATCTTTGCACCATACCTTCGTAAGTTTGTCCTCGTCTTCTTCGATGACATACTCATTTATAGCAAATCTTGGGTAGAACATGTTTATCATGTCCACCTTGTCCTGGAAACCTTGCGCACCCATGGCCTTGCTTTAAAAAAATCCAAATGCAGTTTTGGCGCACCGCAGGTACAATATCTCGGCCATATTATTCATAGCCAAGGCGTTGAGGCTGATCCAGCCAAAATCCAGGCCATCACGGGGTGGCCAACACCCCGATCAGTTACAGCTTTACGCGGTTTTTTGGGCCTGGCAGGTTATTACCGCAAATTTATTCACCATTATGGTGAGATTGCTGGTCCACTCACACAATTGCTGAAGAAGAGTGCCTTTTCCTGGACAAATGCAGCCGAAGAAGCATTCCACGAGCTCAAACTGCGCCTTTCATCAGCCCCAGTTCTCCAATTACCTAATTTCGACAAAGAATTTATTGTTGAATGTGATGCATCAGGATCTGGTTTTGGGGCAGTCTTACAACAGGAAAGCCATCCCATCGCATATTTTAGTCGCAAGATTGCTGCACGTCATGTTAAGCTCGCAGCTTATGAACGGGAACTGATAGGGTTAGCCAAAGCAGTCACACATTGGCGACCCTATTTATGGGGATCTGAATTTCTTATTCGAACTGATCATTCCAGCTTGAAACATTTACTGGATCAACGACTAACTACGTTCCCGCAGCAACATTGGCTCAGTAAATTGATGGGCTTTAACTTCCGAGTAGAATACAAACCGGGACGCTTCAACACTGTCGCGGATGCCTTGTCTCGACAACATGAAGAGGTTATGAACCTCGCAGCACTCACAGTTCCTTTCAATACTCTCCTCAGTGAAGTCCGGTCTGAACAAGCGGTTTCCCCGATTATGAATAATATCCGTCAGGAAATCCAGGAGGGAAAGCGCGGGCCAGATTGGGAAATACGAGATGGCTTAATTTATTACCGCTTCAAACTCTATCTGTTAGATACATTTGAAGTGGTTCAGACTTTGCTCTCGGTATTTCATAACATGGCTCATGAAGGTGTTGAAAAAACTCTTCAACGACTACGACGGGAGTTTTATTGGACCGGCATGAAAACTACGGTGGCCAACTTTGTTCGGAACTGTCAGACATGTCAGAAGCACAAGTGGTTAACATTGCAACCAGCTGGCTTATTGCAACCTCTTCCCATTCCACATCACATTTGGGCAGATATATCAATGGATTTTGTTGAAGGCTTACCCAAGGTTCGAAACAAATCTGTCATCCTGGTTGTCATTGACAGACTCTCTAAAGCTGCCCATTTTATTCCTTTAGCTCACCCATATACAGCAGTTTCCGTAGCCGGCATATTCTTTTCTGAAATATTTCGTCTTCATGGGCTACCGGAATCCATTGTCTCTGATCGTGACAAAATCTTTTTGAGCACTTTCTGGCGCGAGTTATTCCGCCTATCTGGTACCAAACTCGTTTACTCCTCAGCTTACCACCCGCAAACCGATGGTCAAACGGAAGTCGTTAACCGAACTGTCGGGTTGTTTTTACGTTGTATCACGAGCGATTATCCCAAGGAATGGGTTCGTTGGCTTCCTTGGATTGAGTATTGTTACAATACGTCCTACCATTCATCTCTGGGCGACACACCATTTCGCATGGTTTATGGCAGGGAACCACCCCGTATGCTCTCCTATATGCCTGGAACAGCCAAGGTGGATGGGGTGGATCGAGAGCTCATGGATCGTGACGATCTTCTCAAACGTGCTCGTGACAGATTAGCTCATGCACAACAGCGGATGAAAAGTCAGTTTGACAAAGGCCACCGTGAGCTCTCGTTTGAACCAGGTGCTTGGGTCTGGCTCCGTTTGCAACCATATCGCCAGCTAACAGTGGGCAGGGGAAATTCCAAACTGTTGCAAAAATATTTTGGTCCATTTCAGGTTCTTGAGCGCATTGGCCAAACTGCTTACAAGCTCCAATTGCCAGCAACTACTCGTATTCATAATGTTTTCCATGTCTCCCTTCTCAAGCTACACCAAGGACCTCCTCCAGAAGCAATGGGCAGTCTTCCTCCCGAACCTTACACTCTGGGAACCACAACTCCCCAGGCAATTCTTCACAGCCGCTTCTTGAATGGCAGCTGGGAGCTTTTAGTTCAGTGGCAGGGGCAGCAAGTAGATGAGGCCACATGGGAACCACTAGATTCCTTCCAAAAGAGATATCCTGCTTTCAAGCTTGAGGACAAGCTCCTTGTCCAAGGGGGGAGTAATGTTACGGACCAATATTATGGTCGTACATATGAACGCAGAAAGCAGTGTGGGGCAGAGAAGATTAATGACCAACGTGGCTAAGAGAAAAGAAATAAGAAGGCAGTTAGAGTCATATTAGTATTAGTATTTAATTAGTCCTACTTTAATTAGTATTCCTTTATTTAAGTTGTATTAGAATTGCAACTTGGTTTCCTATTTGTTTTAGGAAACCCTTTATCTATTTAAGGGGATCCCAGCTACTTTAATAAACAGCTTTTTGGTTAATTAATCTTGAGATCTCTTGACTAGGTCGGAGATCGATAATTATCTATTAAGACACTATTTTCAGTTCATCTATTCCTCGTCAATTAAAAATAGCTCTCGGAACATCATCCCTTACCTGTGGTCAATCCCGTTCACGTCCTTGGACGAGGTCTCTAACTCACGCCCTTAACAGATATACTTCCAATTTTGACCGTTACCAAACTTTAGCATGCAAGCTGTGTGAGAATGAAAGCCTAATAGAATCTGAAATATGCATGCTACATATGTACATATGTACATCCAATAGGGATGTGAATTGCACCTCCTAAAAAGTGGACACATCATCCGTGTAAACGGCTTGTGAAGCTAACGTGGATGCATAGAGGGTTGAAATCATTTATCATCTCCAATGGTCCTCATTTTTAATACACACGTTACGTTACAAACTCACGACTAGCTAGGCGGAATATAATACGCACTATACCAATATATACATATGCACACGCCGGAATAGAACGGTGAAATGGGTAGAAGTGCAATTGAAGAAAAAACATATGCAAAGGCAGCTTGGAACATAGCAATCACCCTTGGCCAGGGAGAAGAATTAATTCTTTAATCTGAAAAATAAAACTTTCCAATCCCTTCTGAGTTCTTAAAAAATCTAAAAATTTACATACAGAATGCTTGCTTGGGCTATGTGCTCTTTTTCTAGATACCAGAAACCATCTTGGCAAAAGTCTCCGGCCGGAAGGTTTTGGAAGTTGGGAGAGTGAGGATAGATAGATCCGAGAAAGAAGATCACCGGATAAAATAAAGGGGTTGCCCACCGCTGCCGCTGCCGCCTAGAGGAGGAGTGCTGCCGAATCACAAGGAGTTGCGACTTGTGGGATGGTGGTTGTCACGTTGGCTCGATTGCAGCCAGAAATGAGTTGCCGGATGGGAACAAGATAAATTTTCTATTTTCAATGGTATTTGATTTCAATTGCAGAAGTATAGTGACACGTTTAATTTTTTGGAAAAATTGATTGTAATAATACCAACTATTGGCGGTCTGCTTATAATAATTCCAACTATCGATTATCTCAGAATAATCTCAACTTTAGTGACCTTCCGCCAATAATGGTCCATGACCAGATATGACCTGCTATAACAAGTGAATTTTAAATAGAAATAAAGCGTAAAAATTAAAAGTTGAATTATATATAGGGATTAATTACTAGTTATATCTCTTCTCATCAACTTTAGAAACTATAGGAATTTATTTATAGCCGGTCCTGTTAGACCATTATTGGCGGAATGTCACTAAAGTTGGGATTATTCTGAGATAATCGACAGTTGAGATTATTATAAGCGGACCGCCAATAATTGGGATTATTACGATCAATTTTTCCTAATTTTTGTTAAAAGTTTTGATTTAAAAAATGAATTAAAATCATAATTTGCTGAGTCATCCTTCTAGGAGGCCTTCTGAAAATAGACACCCGTGTTGACGGTGTGCCTTCCAGCTCATCAACACATTTGATATCGACATTCACGTTGGAGAATAAATTTTTACTTCCTCCTCAATTTTGTTAACGTGGCAGTGCATATTTTAGAATTCAAAGCCCCGTTAAAGATGCTCTTATAGGTTGTGTTGTACACATGTATATTGGAATGCTAAAAACAGCCTACAAACAAGGTAAAACCATAGCTGAATTAGAATTACTCTTGAATACTAAGTACTGATATTTATCTTAATCCTAGCTAGCTTACTAACAAACTTTCGTGTCATATTAAATTCACGTTCGTGCTTTTGCAATAAAGCTTTCATTTGTTCTCATCCAGATGGCTCCTAGCAAGAAATTGAAGAGTTCGTTTAGTGATTGATTCAATGAAAAATATAAGGGTGTGTTGTAAAAAGTTTCAGATTAATGAATTTATTATGATTTTTCAAGATGACTGAAGAGCATTTACTACGTATAATACAATTTGAAAGTAGGTTGAATCGAATAGAGATTAGAGACTTAGAGAAACATTTCAGTTGAAACTCAAACTAATGATGATTGATGACTTCAGCGCGTATGTATGGCTGAATGGACAACCGTCTTCAGTTGGAATCCCAACTAGTGATGGATGACATTCAACACTGGATATAACCAAATTTGAAATATTATAATGCACTGGATGCAGGCTACTTCAAACCCTTGTAGTTGTAATCTACTTTTGGAAGATGCATGTGAACATTCTTTTGTTTAGGAATAAATATTGACATATTTCAAGCTTATGCATATATTTTCATTTTCCAGTAATTCTAAGTAAAATTGCTTTGCTTAACATTTATGGAAATTGTCCTAAATAGGAGTAAATGAGGTTTGTAATTCCAAAATAGGACTACTATATTTTTCTTCTCGAAATAGGAGTTGTTACTGTCATGTATGAAAAATATTGTCATGATTGAAAATACTGTCATTTATTATAATAAATATTGGCATGTTAAATTCAACTATTTGGCAATCACGCTACAAGATGACCCCGAAAGCTATAGCTAACAGAATTAAAGCAAAAGGTCTGCAGAAGCTGCGATGGTATTGCCAGATGTGTGAGAAGCAATGCCGAGACGAGAACGGATTCAAGTGCCACTGTTTGAGTGAGTCTCATCAGCGCCAGATGGAGGTGTTTGGGCAAAACCCTAACCGGATGGTCAGTGGCTACTCAGAAGAGTTTGAGAGCTCGTTCCTTGAACACATGAAGAGAAGCCACCGGTTTAGCCGTGTAGCTGCCACAGTTGTGTACAATGAGTACATTGCCGACCGACATCATATTCACGTGAATTCCACCGAGTGGGCAACTTTGACTGAGTTTGTTAAGTATTTAGGCAGGACTGGGAAATGTAAAGTTGAGGAGACTCCAAAGGGGTGGTTTTTTACTTATTATCATCAGGACAAGACTGAAAAAGGTAGGGAAGCAAAGTTGGTTGGAGGAAAGGGTATATGGTATTTTCAGGGCAAGAATGAAAGTTGTATATATATGGTATTTATCGTCATTTTCATGCTTTAAATCTATACCTTGCAAAAACTTTCTAACTTAAAAGTTTTTACTTAAATCGCCTCTCTTTATTTTCATACTTTGTAAAATCTTTTCTAGAGTGAAAAGTTCTTGTACAAAAACGAAATTCTCATGTACAACTATGTAGAAGGAGTTCAAAATTTTCTAGGAAATAAATAAATTATACGTAGTATTAAATAAATACGGAGTATTAGTCATTTAGTGTTTAATCTACTTTAACAACTTTTATAAAGGTAGACGATTGATGTCTTGTCTACCTTTCCTCTTTTGTTTCTTTTATCGTTTATCTTCCTTGTCTTTTTATATTCTTATGTTATTTTTATCTTCTAGCTTTTTTATGCTCTTTTATTTATTTTTCTTTTATCTTGGTTATATTCTTGTATTATTGTTATCTTATATTTATGTATCTTTATTTTATTCATTTTATCTTACTTTTTTTCCTTTTCTTGTCCGCATTCTCTTTTTGGCATCGATATCATAGATCGATTCATGTTAGCTGACCCCAAATTCTTTTGGGATTAAGGCTTGAATGTTGTTGTTGTAACAACTTTTATAAAAATATTAATATATTAGCTACTTAATTCACGGTAAATTGGAGTATCATTTTATATTAGTTTTGAGATTTTGTAAGACATTTTTTAATTATAGATTAGTGTACATAATTAAAATTTTTAGATTTTATTTATGTTCTTACTAATTCATGAAGAATAAATAGAATTGAAGAATCAACAAAAATTAAAGTTTAATACTAATATATAAAAAGCATTGATAGTGATAAAAATGTGTAATTTTGAAGAAAAACATAAAAACATAATTTTTGAAAAAGATAAAGTTCGAGTCTTTTTTTGAAAAATTAAAGAATATAATAGATTTGTGAATTTGATGATAGTTTGGGATATAATAAGTTAATAATCCTAAAAAGTATGATCCACTTCATAAATTGTGTAGGCTTAGTGCGCATTTGGTGACCCCGTTTTTTGGCTTATATTAGCTTATTAGCAATTCTTTTCACAAAATACGTAACTTTTCATTTCACATGCTGAATTGTGTAATGATAAAAATAAGTAAGGTTGATGTTATTTTTCTGGCTTAATTTGTTGAAGTTACTATAAAAAATCATTACAGTTATTTTTATTTCTTTCTTTCTTTATTTCATTAATAAAATACATTGTAAATATAATTGTGTCAACATTCAGCTGATTCAGCCGCTTTAGTTAGAACTTCATCAATTTCAGCTAGACATGTAAATAAACAAACCCACAAAGACTTGCTCTACCCTGATACATTTGGGACAAATTAAACCTGCAATGTCTTGCAAATGGAGCGGGTCCATCCCGCCCCGCCCACACAATAGGACGAGTCTGTCTCGTCCTGTCCACACAATGAGGCAGGTCCACGTATTAGTATTGACATGTGTCTTCTCGCTCCGTTCTGACCCGCTCCGTGCAATATATAAGTATGCATATATTTTTTTTAAATTATACCACAAATATACAAATACATACATATGTGTGTATAACACTCCATAAATTATAATTCCTTGATCTTATAATACATTAATATTTATATTTGATAAACGGGTAAATGACTAATTGTCAATGTCTTTTTTTATATTTAGCATTTTATATTTTGAATTGTAAATATAAATTAATTAACTATTCAAGTCTACATACTTTTTTCTTAATTTTGACATTTCCAGCATATTGTGACTTTGATTTAATATACTACGGAGTAATTTTTATAGTTTTTTTTTGTTTTTTGTTTTTTTAACTCCAGGGGGCGTCTGAGGGCTGGAGTACTCAGGGCTGAAACTCACTCCATTGAGTTTCAAACCCTTATGTGCATAGCGGATTTCGAACTCGAGACCTCTCATTAGCCATGTTAACCTCACAACCAGCTGGGACGGAATGTTTGGTTTAGTTATTTAGAGATAATTGACCATTGTCGTGTCTAATTTCAGTAGAATTAGTTGATTCAATCAAGTTCAAGATTATCAAATAGACTTTTAATGTGTAAGAGTTTTATACTATCGTATGAGGAATACTTTACCAAATAGACTTTTAATATGCAAGTCTAATTTATATGAGGAGAGTTTCCTACATCACAAGATTCACAACCCTTAGTTTACAAAAGGAGTATGAAGGGAAGATGAGGGAGGTCTTGCTCTCAATGATTCTTCCTACCTTCACGGAGTTGCTCAGCGACTGAGAAGGGAGACAAATGGTAATGAAGGTAGCAGATTCGTGTGGTGGGAGGAATAGCCTGAAAGGTGATGTAAGTCCTGCTGGATTCGTCCTTTGGAGCCAGTACTGACGAGGCTGACTGTGATCAGATCCGGATTTAACTGTCTAGGGGCTTTGGAGGGTAGTTCATAGACTGCAGGATTATGGGGGCCTAAGCCCCGACACCTGGATTATCAAAAAAACAAACAAAAGGAGTATGAAGTTGGCTATTAGACATTTAGACTTCCCGCAACCCACCAAGTGAATAGTCAAATATGTAGTTTTCAACCCCAATTTTGCTATAATCCAAGTAGGCAATTTATATCATACACCCGGGTGTACATCTACACCCAATTATTTTGTAATTAGTAGCAAGTTTGAGGGTCATTAATAGGCTAATGCTCCACTTTTCCTTTTTTTCCGCCGATGCTCCACTCTTCATGCGCCATCCCGAAGCCTACGCTTTTTGTTCGTTCATTGGCCAAAAACTGTAAGACAGTGCCATTCCACTATTTCAATGAGTTGGCTATTATAAGGTTTCTCTTTTAATTTCCTTCATTCGCAGGTGGTTGTTCTCTTTCTTTTTTTTCTTTTTTTATTCTCCTTTTTTTGATTTTTTTGCTCTCCTTTTTTAGCAACCTTCTACTTTAATGTTATATTCAATTGTTTTGAAAATGAAAATGTATAATATAAAATATTATTAAATGTTTCAGTTTATTTTTTAGATTCATATAGGAGCACAAATCATGATACTCAATTGGACGTTTTCAATACTCAATAGAGAAAGTTTGATACTTAATAAAAATGTCTTAAAGTTCAACTAAAAAACTTATGATCTTCATATCAATACTCATTTTGTAAGTTACGTTTATTAAATTTGTACTCATATTATGCTCATTTTTAAAATGTCATATTCATGCAAATTTTAAAAGTTGCATATGACATTAGATTCACATTGTTAGGTTCCTAGTACTCAAACGAATTAGTCTGATGCTCATTGAAAGTGTTTTAATGCTCATAATAGGTGTGATGCACATTAGAAGTTCATTAATGCTCATTTAACAGAAACTGTGATTTTCATCTCAATAAAGGAGGTTTGATGGTCAATGAAAATGTCTTTATGTCAAACTAACAAACCTTACGATTTTCATATCAATGAACATTTTGTGAGTTACGTATGCTCATCTGGTACTGATTTTATGCTCATTTTCTAAGTATCATATCAATGCATTTTTTAAAGTACTATTTTACATTGGTTTCACATATTGAAATTCATAGGAGTTAATTATAAATATAATTTAATAAGTTTATATAAAAGAAAAAAGAATAAAAAGAAAGTGAATTAAAAGTTATGAAGCACAGATCATGATTCTAAACATTAGATTCCTAATACTCAACATAATAGGTCTGATGCTCATTAAAAGTTCATTAGTGCTCATTCACCAGAAATCGTGATTTTCATCTCAATAACAGAAGTTTGATGCTCAATTAAAATGTTGTGATGTTCAACTAACAAACCTTACGCTTTTTCATATCAATGTGCACTTTACAAGTTATGTATGCTGATTTCGTAATGATGTTATGCTCATTTTTAAATTATCATATCAATTCATATTTCAAAAGGATGATATTACATTAGACTCACATATTGAAATTAATAGGAGTGGATTATAGATATAATTTAATAAGTGTTTATAAATGAAAAAATAAGAAATTTTCCATCATTTTCAATGGAGCCAAAGACTCACTATTTTTTGGCTTGGGAATATGATGAAATAAAGCAAAATGACTCACTAAATTGTCTGCGCTTCTTTGTTATGAAGTAACGGTCAGCCTATGCAATTTTCGATGCGATTTTCACTACGGGTCATTCGGAAACAGTCTCTCTGTACTTAGTACATGGTAAGACTGCGTACATCCGACCCCCTTACCCCACCGTAGGTGGGAGCCTTTGCGGCACTGGGGTAATGATGATAATGAAATGAAAAAATAAGAAAAAGAAAAAGAATTAGAAGATATGAAGTACAGATCGTGATACTCATTGTTCGTCTCCTAATACTCAATAAAATAGGTCAGATGCTCACTAAAAGTACATTATTGCTCATTTAGCGGAAACCGTGATTTTTCGCCTAAATTACAAAAATGTCACCGATTTTTTTTTATCTGTATCAGTTATTGGGTTGTCTTCTTTAATTGGGTTGAGTGTACGTACACCCAAATGTATCATATAAGCACTCATCCAAGTATTAGGAGATGCTATAGTGGGTATATATGGCACCCACTACCACCCGGAAATTGAATTCCTCATTGACGGAGAGAGGCGAAGCTGCGCAAGCAGCGTATGGTGTCCAAGAAACATGGGGCCCAACAAATAAAAATCCCCGAATTTCTTATTCTGTTATAAATTTTTTTGTACTCTGATTTTAAAAAAAAATATCAAAATTCATAATTTTTTATGATCTTTCATATGATATCAATATAACATATGTAAAGTTTCAAAAAAATACTCCGTATAAAATTTCATCTATTGGAGATTTTTTAGGTTTATTTTTTTGTTAAATTGATCTAAATGCTAAAATTAATATTTTATATCTTTCAGTTACTTGTTTTTCAAAACTAGATTTAAATTAGCGACAAAAAAATTAAACTCCATATTTATTTATTTTACATCGGAATGTATGACTTTTAAAACCATATACTTATACTTATTCGCAAAAAGTA